GCACTTTGAATCGCTCCATCTGTCCTATGGCTTAAAAGAAAAAGAAGATCCCCATCATTTTGTTTCACAGTATTTTGTTATGTATGTACCATATATAACAGTATGTATCTCGTGTGGAAGGGCAGACGTACTCTTCCCGATCTGTCCTCATATGGGAGCATCCCTCTCTTGGCACATTGCAAGCTCCACAGCGCCTGACAGCAGTGTTAGCGCCACCTGAAGAAGCAATGGCATCTCTGTAAGCCTGCAGACCTGTGAGATCTTGAAACAGTTGCTGTTTGCTGAAAAGCTACAAGTGCACTTAAACATTTGTGCAACTGTTACTTCAGGAATCTCAGTCAGAGTGCTAACTCTAGAGACATCACCCAGGAAAGAACTTGTTTGGACTCTAAAGATCAATCCATGCATTTAGAAACTAAGAAATATTTTATATTACACTTGTTATATTATTGTCTGAAATTGCTTTGGAGAGATTACATTTTTTTATATTCTTTCCTTTTTGACAGGACAATATCCTTATGTTTTCATCTGGGTGGCTGCTGGAGAATTTTTTTCTCTGATGGCAACAGCAGGTTTGAGTGTCTGCTATTTCAAATACAGTGAGTTGATCTTTCATGCATTAATGTAATTTCAACTATTTCTAAATAGTTTAGCTAAACCTTCCTTATTTATCTGTAAAACTATGATAGGATAATTCTGGAATTTGAGATACACAGTTCTGCACGTCTCATAGGTCAGAGTTAAATTATAAATTTATAATGACATGGAATACAATTTAATGAATTGGGCCAATTAGTTCTGGAATGGTCAGGTTATCCTTCACAGCTACAGCTGTTTTCAATTAATATGGTATCCAAAATAATGAAGAGTAGTAGTGAACTAGAGACACTGCAAAATAGGCCAAAGGTTGGATTGACCTTGAACAGGATGCACAGTCACATACATACAGTTTTTTAAAGTTCTTAGTGATTAATAAAGGTTAGTGGTTTTCCAGGACCATATTTTACTTTGATTAGTGTAGTTTTATGATGGACAAAGAAGCCAGTCATTTAATATGGCAATCTGGCAATACTATCTACCAAAATGTTTGGTAGTTTATTTTTTTCTGGAACTGAAATTGAATTTTCATTGTTATTTAACTTTGGCAGTAAATACTGCAGAAATGATACACTACATGCTTTTCAAAAATGTTGCAGTTATAGCATGCAGTTTCTAAAACAACACTGAAAAGACAAAGCCGAAAGAACTAAACACATTTATAGTTTGCATGTTTCAAATTTTATATAGATGAATGTCTCAAAATATTTGTAAAGAATAAATTCTATCTGTATCTAAAAGAGTGTAAATGTTTTTTTTATTCAGAGAGAGACAATCAATACAGTGAAAGGTGAGTCAGCTTTTTATGTATATTCTAATATATTAATATATTAGATAGCTAATACAAAACTATCTGGAGATCTCCAGCTCTGAGCTCTACTGCAATGAAAAACTGTTCCAAACCAATGTGAGAGACCAGCTAATTGCCCCTGATAATTTTGTTAGTTTTAAATTCAAGAATTTAGACACAGAAGTAATTGAATATTAATTTTATTAATTTATCATTTTTATGTTTTGATTTTATGAGGCTGACTACCACTCACCTGAGTTTGTATCAGCATATTTAACCCTGTATTAGTTAACTCCTGTGTGATTGAACTGCCATTTCTGTGTAAAACAACAGTTTGTTTATTCTCATGCTGGTTTAATTGCTAGACTTGCTAATTGAATCAATAAAATCATATCTAGTATTCTTTGAATCTGTAAGGTAAATTACTAATAATTTCATTGAATTGAATTCTTGTAGCCATAGAAGCACTCTGTGATTTTATTAATCCAGTTTCTAATTGTCAAAATAAAACAATCATACTATTAAATTGCTGCAACTCTTGATAAGCTAAACATACAGTATTTATTCCTTTACATGTAGTTTGTTTGTAACAGTATTTCAAGAGTATCACATTTAGTCAGGAATAATCAGTTAACCAAACCAAAACATTGTATCAGTATCCAAAATCATTATGCTTAATTTCAATAAAATATTTTTGCAGAAACAGTGATACCTGTACATTGCTTTAGATACTCAATATATTTTACAAAGTTTATTTAAATAGAATTTAAAATATACAGGAGTCACAGGACAGAAAAGAATCTCACACACTGAACAAAAGGGAAAAAATGAACACATTATTTATAGTACCCCTCCCCTGTACCACTGCAGCATTGCAGCTGCCTCCATAGTAAATTTCTCATAAGTGGGGGGGTTAATCAAAGTGCAGAACTTTGGCCAGGACTGTAATTTCCTCAGCCAATTAGTGAATTAATGGCAAAATACATTATGTTATTCTATTATCCTCTGGCTTGTTTTGACCAAACTACTAAAAATATTAGTGCAATTTATGTTACAATGCTAAATATAGTAAATATGCTTCAAATTACCACATTAGAAAATATGCTTTATAATGTATTGGGCAGAAAGTTTAATGTGTTGTAAGGAACATGTTTCTAGCATGATCCTACAGTATATATTTATAACATACTATTTCCAGTGAGTGTGGTGACTGCCCTGTCAAACTTGTTCTTCACCATCACATCTGCAGTAGATAAGGTGGGTAGCTGCGTCAGCATGCGTAGTCTGCAAAGGAACAAGTAATGGGTTTATTCCTTGCTGAAAAGAGAAGAGAGAAAACGTTTCGGCCGTGAAGCCTTCTTCAGTTGTGAAAAAGACAAGGCAGACAGCAAAGATTAAATAGCACAGAAGAACAAAATCTGGGAGAGGGGAGGAGGCCGGAGGGTAAGAGAGGCAGAGAGGTTACCCAGGAAGTGCAAAGTTGAGAGGGGTGAAGAAAGGTGTGAAGTCAAAACCTGCATGAGAACAGAGAAGATTACAAGAAAATAAGTCGGTCATTGAGAGAAGGGGGGTGGTTTGAACCTTGTTTCAGGATGGGTTTTGTTTCTGTTGTTTTTCTGCTATGGGAATTGAGAAACCCTTCTTAGAGAACAGAGAGATCAGTGTGATCATGGCCGTCTGAGGTGAAATAAGAAACTCAGGGCTTGGAGAAATCTTTAATCTTCACAGCCCTAACATGTTCTCTGAAGTGGTCTCCTGGTCTCCTTCTGATTTCCCCAACGTAGATAGATGGGGATTTTTGCAGGAGATACAGTAAATGAGGTTGCTGGAGGTACAGGATGTCGTCTGGGTGATCCGGAATTGACCTGAGGGCCCCTGAATGAGCGTGTTGTTATATATGTATTTGCAGGTGATGCAGCAAGTTCTGTTGCAGGGGAAGGTGCCTGGTGGGGATGATGGCCGAGTGCAGTCAAGGGAGCTGTGAAACAGAAGTTTACGTAGATTGGGTGGTCAGTGGTATGAGATGATTGGGTGGTTAGAAAAAAAGGTACCGATGGAGGGATCACTCTGTAAAATGGAGTAGTTGTTAATAATGGTCCTGGGGGTAGAAAGTGTGTTAGACTGGTATGGAAGCTCCAAAGAAGGCGGTTGTGAGACTGGGAGTTCCTGGTCAAGTTGATGATCAGAGGGCTTATTTTGGATCAGGTGAGGGCCCTATCGATAACATGGCTGGGGTATCCTCTGTTGATGAAAAAATAATACATTTTGAGTACTTGGTTCTGGAAATCCATGTTATCACTGCAGAGTTGACGTAGCCTGAGGAACTGTGATAAAGGGAGAAAGTTTTTGGAGTGAGTGGGATGAAAAGAGCTGTATAGAACATAGCTGTGTGAATTTGTGGGTTTGTAATAGACCGAGGATGAGAGTCGTAAATGGTTAACAGATAAATTTATGTCTAGAAACGGAAGAGTGGTGAAAGATATGTTAACTATATATTTGAGGGACGGTAGAGAGCTAATGAATTGAAGCAGGAAGTGTTCTAGCTGGTCATTAGTGTGGGTGGGGGGATCAATCTTGCATTTGTCTAGCATGTTCTTGAGGGCTGTTAGACCATCATTGTGGGGAATTATGGTGTAGAGAGACGTGATAACCATAATACAACTGTAGCATTCTGAACCCTGAAATTGGAAATCATTGAAAAGTTGGACTGCAGGGTTAGTATAATTGATATATGAGGGAAGCATTTCAACCAGAGGTCTCATAAGGCTATCATGGAAAGCAGAGATGAGTGTGGTCAGACAATTGCATGCTGAGACAATGGGGCATCCAGGAATGTCAGGTTTGTGGATTTTGGGAAGGAGATAGGATTGGGATACCTGGGGATGTTCAACGATGAGACAGTTCGCCTCCTGGGGGAGCTTCTGGTTGCTGATAAGAAGAGAGATAGTGGATACCACTTCCTTTTGGTAGTCAGTGGTAGGATCCTGTTGGAGAGGATGGTAGGCATTACATCTGCAGTGTCTGTATAGACAATACACATCCACTATGCATTAAATTATGGTTTGCTCATACTACCTAGTTGATGTTTTATCTTTGATTGCAGACATAATTAAACTCTGATGTAATAATGATAGCTTGGGTCTAGGATCTACATCATTAATGTAGATTGCTTTGGTATTAAAGGTTATATTGCTGCAACATACTATATATGATTTTGAAAAATTATTTAAACAGAAATAAGACTTATTTCACATATGGCCATTCTATAGCTAACACATACTGTACATAATAGGCAGATATTGAGAAAGTGTATATCCTGTTAAAGCAGTACTTATATTTTTCTGTTCTCATTCTGTAAGGATTTGCAGCTTAGAAGTTCTGAGAGTTGTCTGTAAGTTTGTGTACTTGTTTATTTCAACACTTAGTGTAAAGAACATGTATTGAGAAAGCTGAAGGATTGTAATTCAGCTATACTAGTGCTGCATGCTCTAGAGTAAAGTTCCAAGTTTTTGATTTTGTCTTTTCACAGATACAAACACTGATGAGGAATAACTGAATGAACATCTACTCCAGAACATCTACTAATAAGTGCTGAGTCTACTATATCATAAATGGTTAAATAATTCTGACACTGTAATGCTACTTGTGATGTCAAATGTAACACCTTTTAAAACAAATTTATGTACAACAGACTACTGCTTATGTAACATTTCGTGTGACTTTAACTCGACACTGTAGCAACTACCAAAGTGCTGAATAGCCTCCTCTCATATGTAACCATTCTTATGTTCTTAATTATAAGTTCAACTCTGTACTATTTTTAAGTGGTCAAAACCAATTAGTCATATATTCAACAGTGATTTTTTCTTGCTTTTTAAAAAGCACAGCCATGAAATGATTTCCTTGTAATTACATACTATTATGATGGTATATGGGATGGTATAATGCGGAAGGGAGTGAACCAGACACAGGAAGGAGAAGACTAGGAACTGGGCAGGTTGACGAACAGGGGGGTATGATGACTGTGCACTGGTGCTCAGGGGGGCATGCTCCAGGCGAACAAGTACAAGGGGGTCTAAAGGGAAATCCAGGGTGAAGTCCAAAGGTCCTGTACCGGGTGATCCACCACGCGTCCATCTTCCAATTCAGGGCCCGGAATAGTGTGAGCGTCTGGCTTATATAAGGAGGGGCTGGATAGGAGGCAGGTGCACAAAAGCAACTAAAATGTGAAAGAGCCGGAGCGCCCTTTAGAGGAGGGATTACAATCATGACACGGTCAATCTTGCTCCATTTGAGGTAAAGCTTCAGAGAGTTTGAGCTAAATGAGAAGACCTCCTACATAACAATGGTATTTTAAGAGACAGCTAACACAGATTCAGAAGGGGAAAGTCCTATTTTGCTTGCTAGAAGAACAAGGAATTATTAGTAATAAGGATAATTATACTAAAGCATAAATACTGTATATTTAGATTTCCAGAAAACCTTTCATATGTTGATTTTCAAAGTAACATTTGTTGGAATCAAAAATAATGTAAGCAAAAGGTGCAATGTAAGCAATAGAGTACCACAGTGATCTGTTTTAGGCCCACTATTCTTCCTGATCCACAGTATATCAATAATTTAGATTCTGTATTGTTGATTTTGTTTTGCCATGCCTGCTTAGAGACTCTTGGCTTTGTAGGTACTCAAATTTGTTTGCAGTTTTTTTATCTGTGGCTATGTATCTTTGTATGGTCCTATTGTATAAGGCTCTGGGGAGACCCTGGGGAGACCTGAATCTCTGACCACTGACCCAGAACATGCTCACTTGAGGACTGGACACCCAGGTCTTCAGTGACACCTTGAGAATCCCAGGATCATTTTGCAAGCTCTATTAAAACCGTAATCTTTAGTTTACCATAGCCAGAGAACCTAGCACACCTCCTTGCTTTAATTTAGTATTTTAACTCTTTGCTCCAGGATTCCCAGGCTCTGTGAACTATACAGTAGTTTAGGTTTCATTGCCCCTTTGTTACGTCACGGCCCCGGAGGACTCGTCATTCCACCTCACATTCCAGTACAGTTCCCAATTAGCCCTTTTCCTCAGCCTTTTTAATGCTGCTTCACACTGTGCTCAGTATTAGGGTTGTCCCGGCTAGAGCTTCTCCCATTCTTATCCTCTTATTATAGGCCAAACTAAAGTAAATCTACAGTGCTACTCTGCCCTCTCAGACCAGGAGTCTCTCAATCGCAATCTGCACAGACTGGATCTGGGGCTTGAGCTGGGAGCCCTCCTTGATGGTGACGGAGGTTGCAATAACAGGCCGGGAGACGCCACAGGTGCGGCCCAGGGCCTGCTTGGAGCACATGAAGATGTAGGGCACGTTCTTGTCCTCGCACAGCAGCAGCAAGTGGAGAATGATCTCGAGGGGCCCGGTGTCGGCAGCCATCACTATGAACTCCGCAATGCCGCGGTTCAGGGTTTTAGTGGCTTCATTGGCTCCCTTCCTCAGCTGCTTGTAGTTGGCCACCTGCTGCACCAGGTCCAGGATGGTTTTAGTCAGTGTGGCATCAGCCAAGGGGTAGGCCTTGGGGTTCACTTCCGGGTCAATCATCACTACAGCAGGAGATCAGAGAAATGGGCAATGTAGGT